TAAACCCTAAACAACTAGTAGCACTTCAGTTAAATAAGGGACAAACAAAAGGTCTATCCAAGACAAAGACTCATATGACATGAGTGAAAACAAAAATATGTGAACAGCGAGTAGCCTGGTTTGGATTGAAATGTTCCAGGAAAAAGTCACATTTGGATGTGAAATCAGGTGCAGGTGAAGACGCACAGTGTCAGAACTGTGATTAAAGCTGGAGTTCAGATACCAAGGAGGTACCGGAGGGGTGGTGAGGGTGAACAATCAGATTGAACTGGGTTGCAGACACCGGCCAGAAGCAAACCAGCAAAGGGTTTGAAGAGAGCACATTTGCAGGACTGAAGATGCAAATTGAAAGAAGGCAAGATAGATGGGCAGGATTTCACAGGAGAAATGAGGACCAATGAAAGCTGTAAGAGACAGTAGCTGGATGTATTTGGGGTCAGTCCCTTCATTCTGTTTGCCTTCTTGCCCAGAAAATGCAGATAACACATCATAAGATCATGGTATCCAAATAAAATACTTTTGTTACATGGCAAGTATAGTGAAACACTCTAAAAATAAAGGTTTTTGTAGCTTTATACAGTGAATGTATTAATTCATTCATAGATGTAGATTCTAGAGAAATGCCACAAACTGGGTGGCTTACAACAACAGAAACTTATGACCATTCAGAAGGCCAGAATCAAGGTGACAACGGTTTGATTCCTTCTCAGGGCTTGGGGCGCGTTTCTCCTCACTTCTGCAGACCAATAGCCACTCAGCATTCCTTGACCTGTAGCACCATGTTTCCTACCTCTGTCTCTGCCACGTGGCATTTTACCTGTGTGTCCCAGGCTTTTGTGTCTCTTCTGTTCTCGTAAGGACACTGGTCATAGTGGATTTAGAGCTATTGTGCACAGGGGACATCTTCCCCACTTCTCTGGGTTCTTGTTGGGCTGGAAAAATCACACAAATCAACATCAGACAGACTAGTAGAGGAGAAAAGACCAAATTTAATAATGTACATATGTAGGACTTACATGACTAAATTCTAACAGAAATGGGTGTTGGTACCCTGTGCTCTGATAAAGAGATGGGAGTCATGGAGCAGACTACATAATGCAAGATGCTCCCGAAGAGTAAGATCCTGGCTTTTTATCGGAAAGCTAATCATACAGCACTAATCATGTAAGGAAGCAGAAAAAGAGAGGGAGAATTAGAAGAAGCAGGGGAAAGCGGAACCATAATTCTCATCTGCTGATAGCTTGGTATGTAGATCAAACCCTGACTCCCCAGTCAGGTTTTCAATCTTATCTACAAGGGGTTCCACTGCTCAGCTTCTGGGGTGCTTCATTATACATCCATCCTCAGCCCTGGTCATAGCTTGTGATGTATACCCTCCTCAGGGTGATGCAGCCTTATGCTCTTAATTGATGTGAAAGGTACGTCGTAGGGTTGGGCACCTATGACCAGGCGGTTCTGACTTAGCCTTAGGAATGTAGAATTGTAGATAATAAAATGGAGGCTGGTTAAGCCACCTAGGATTAGCAGACCCACAACTACCTGGCTTTGCTATCTGAAAGAAATATGAAGAGGATTTTCACTTTCATGGCAGAAAGTGAAAAATAAAAAAAGCAGTCAGCATTGTTTTGCACCCAAAGCAATGAGAGGGACCCCAGCAAGTTTCCTCACTGGGAATGACTTTTTTTTAAATGATTTATTTCTGTAAGCATATAAGAACTGGGGTACAGACCAGAGCTGCAGGATGGGGGTGAGAGGATTCACCAGAGACAGAATGGAGAGCAGAACAGGCTGACTGACAAGTACACTGCTGAGGGGAGCAGCGGGCGGGTCAGGAGAGGTCTGCAGCACTGTGTGGGTCAGCTCCCTGGCCAGCATCGAACTGCTGCAGTGGGTGTGGATGGCTTCATAGTGCTGCGCTTTAACCCCTTGTGCCATAATTGAGGGCCCTAGTTTTTTGGTTTTTTTTTTTTTTTAAATGATAATGGTGGCTTACAGCACTGAATGTGAATATTAGGTAGAGGTTCACTCCTTTTCAGGTATGTTACCACACACCCCCACAACCAAAGCTGGATAACCCTCCACCATAGTCTAGTCTCCCCTTTACCGTTACCATCTCCTTCCCTGTCTCAGGGAAGGAGTAAGTGAAATCATGGAAGAAGCACTTGGCATGGTTTCCCAAGAGCCTGGCTCTCTCACAGGGGCAGATCTGCATGTCGGTGGGGTGGAAGTGGGGCGTCCTGTTTACATAAACAAAGACGATTCATGATTTTCATCTACCTGTGGGTTAAAAGCTCTGTTTGCACGGTCACTTGCAAAGTAACTACTTTGCCACTGAGACTTCTCCCAACCGGGTTGTTCAATATTAACAGGAGTGTTTTACCCCATTGTTGACCCACATTCCATAGAGATGCAAGATTACTTGGCATTGTCCTTCACAGCTAGCATTTCAGTTTGCCAATGATTTTTTTTTTTAACACTTTCTTACTGGCCTCTCAAAAACATGATTAAACATCATCATCACTTCCCTTAAGTTGTTTTTTGAAAGAGTAAGTTTCATAGTTGAATGCATGATCTTGCTAAGTAAGCCTTTATTACTTTCTCAGGTGGCAGTCACGTATTTTATCTTGAATTTTTAAAACTGATAAAAATTGATGTTCAAAGCAGTTATAGGACCTAAGTGTAGTGCTTTGCTATTTCCTGATTGGTGGAGATGTCATATAACTATCAGCCACGTATTTATTTACATTAAACTATACTCTGAGTTTTACTATACCTTCTAATAGATTTGAAACTTAGCCTGAGGGTCTCCCTGGTGGTGGAAGCCCTTGGCCTGGTTTCCCAAGAGCTTGGCTCTCCCACAGGAGCATATCTGCACAGCACTATGAAGCTCTCTGAAGCCACTGCAGCACGAGTTCGATCCCCAGCCAGGGAGGTGATCCACATGGTGCAGCAGACCTCCCCTGTCCTGCCCGCTGCTCCCCCAGCAGTGTATTTCAGTACATCTGCCTGTTCTGCTCCCCACTCTGTCTGGTGAATCCTTTCCCTGTCCCCTCCCCCCAAAACTTCTGGCCTGTGCCATAGTTCTTGTATGAATAAATAAATATATCTTTTTTAAAAAGGGGGCGGTGAAAGGATTCACCAGTGACAGAGTGGGAAACAGAATAGGCAGATGGAGGAAGTACAATGCTGAGGGGAGCAGTGGAAAAGACAGAAGTCTGCCTTGCCATGTGGATCACCTCGCGGGCCAGGGATCGAATTCACACTGAAGCACTGAGGCCAGCTTGCAGTACTGTGTCTTAACCCCTTGTGCCGCCAGGGAGGGCCCATAAATATATCCTTAAAAAAGTAAAATAAAATTTAGCCTAAATGGGGGCCTCCCTGGTGTTACAGGACTTACAGTCTCAGCACTACCAAGCTATCGCCAGCCACTGTGGCATGAGCTCCACACCCAGTCAGGGTGCTAATCCACATGGCACAGCAGACCTCTCCTGTCTAGATCCACCTGTTCTGCTCCCCATTCTGTCTCTGGTGACTTCTCTCACCCTGCCTCTCCCTCCCCCCACCCCAACACACACACCAGTTCTGGAATGCATAAACAAATAAATCCTAAAAACTAAAATAAAGCATTGTGATGCTATATTGTCAATATCTGCATAGGTCTCCTGCTTGGTTTAAGACTCAACGTTGGTTGTTAGCTTGTGTTTTAATCCAACATGTTATACAAAGCAGCTGCAGAGGAAGTAAACCTTTTGCTGTTCACAGAGGTTTTATATTGTAAGCCCAGACTCTACTGTAGTCAACTGGTAGGAAGCAATGTACAAACACAGCCCCATAACTTGGAGTCCTTTATGCTTCCAGTGGCCAAATAGGCAAACAGACTTTGAAAGTTAAAGTGAATTTTAGAATTTTGGTATGTTATTGTCCTTCATAAAGCATAACTAAGCAAGCTGGGGACTTTACAGACTGTCTTGTAAGACAGAGAAAGGTATGCATTAATTTCAAGCCTCAAGATTGTATACCAATTACCTGAATTTAGAGAAGCTGAATGCAACAAAATCCCTGGCGATTTATAACAAGTGACATAGACTTCAGATTTGGTATTTTGGCTCTCCTTGTATTTCACAGGGTATCTACACTGTTATTTTGGTTTTCTTCATTCTAAGTACAGCCATTTCCATTTATGACAGCGACATATGACAGACAAGCACTTAGACGTAGAGATCTTGATGCATTGTGTGCAAAAGCCAGCACAAGTCTATTCTCCTGTCTCTGCGTTCACTGGGAGATGAACTGAGTAGTTCTTTCTCCATCTCTAATTTCTGCGTCTGTGATATGTTAGCCTGGTATTCCACCACAAATAAATTTTTTAACAGAACACAGATTTCATGAGTTGTGGCTAGCCTGAACTTCCACTTTTAAAATCCTGGACCTATAGCAGATGAAAACGTGTTACTCCATTACTATTAAAATTGCATTTTACAACATAAAAACGTAAAGACTTTTCAAATTTATTTAAGACCATTCTAAACCTCTGGAATGTTTATTGATATAGACGATGGAGATTAAGCAGTTTAGAGATTTAGAGTAAATGGCCACCTCTTTGCAGGAGGTTTGGCAGAGCGCAAGCATTTCTGCACGTGTTCTGGCGGAAAGCATTTGGGAGTCTTGAGTTAGAGCTTCAGGAATCCTTCCGAAAAGGACAAAAGAGAGACTTCCTGTCATTTCCACTGGTTTCTGCATGTGGCACCAATATGGGCAGTGTAGAGTTTAAACAGATGTAAATGATAAGGGGAGGAGGCAAAAGCCTTGGCTTGTTTTACGTAGTTCCCATATCCTGAGTGAATTTAAGTCAGTCTCTGCTAGGCGCTTCCAGGGTAGACTTGCACTGAAGTTACTGCACGCTTGAATGGTTTATTTCACCAATATTTGCTTATGGAAATAGAGAGGAGCGATAGGATGGGGGCGGGAGGAGAGGGGTGGAGGAGGGGTTAGGAGCGGAGGGAGGCTCGGCCACAGCACTGCGCACCAGTAACCTTGTGCGATGTGATCATTAACCTTTCTGGAAAGCGCAGCTGGCAGTTCTCCGAGGTTTGTCATTAGAATGTGAGGGAGCCACACAGATATTGCACAGACCAGTCAAGGATTGGTTTACTTGGAGAGCTACTGCTTCACTTCTAAGTGGCAGAAAAAAATGAGAATGCAACAATTCCTTTTTGTATTTTTAATTTTTATGATGAGTCTGCTTCTTATCGACGGACAGAGACCAGGTAGGACTTGGATGTATTTCCCCCGAGTAACTTTTCTTGATGTCTGCTTACGCCCGTGGTCTCTTGGGGGGGATGAGGGGTAAGGGGGGGGCGCGGGGGGGGAGCGCTTGTCTTGCTGTTGCAAATCACTTAGGGGGGCTTTGGTGTATTGAGGATAAATGTGTAGGGTTTCAGAAATATGGTATCTATGCTGTTAGTCTACTACTTGGGCATCTTTACAAAATAACTTAAAATGCTGATAAATATCTTACCACTATTTTTCTAAATTCGAGAAAATTGATCCCTAAGTTATTGTAGATATGTTGTCTTTCTAAGTAAGAAGAAATGGAAATGCCTGGTGTAAACAAGCAGTTTTTTAGGTAAAATGCAAAATCCAGAGCAGTTTATGAAAAGAGCGTGGTGCTGGCTGGAGTGAAGCACTGTTCACTGACTAACACCGCACAAATCGGGAGGTGGCAAAGTTTTAAACTTAAATCTTTAAACAGGTCAATAGCTGGTATTTCTGGTTATATAATTAGGTGTATCCTAATACAAAAGAACCATATTTAGAACTATTTTGTTTACAAAGTCAAAAAGTGACAAAAATATTTATAGCCCAGATGAATAATAGTCATTTAACTGACACATTTTTTGCAGGGTGTATTGTTTCTAACCAATAGGAATTTAGTAAGTGGAGTTATTTGTCTGCTTTTATTTCAAAACCAAATGTCTAAAACTTCAAAGCATTGTCAAGTAAAAATTAATGCTTTCTGACTTAGAAGAAAGCAAACCAAAATTTAAATTAAAAAATGATAGTGTGTGTATATATATAATTAATATATTAATATATTAATTAATATAATATAATTAATATACATTAATTTAAATGTTTTAAAATTAAAAATATATAGACACACGTGTATCCCAATGTGTTCCTTTACTCACTTAATAAATGCTTTTCCATTTAGGACAGAACATGGTACATAATTAGTTAAAAATTCAGTCACTGCCTTTTAGTTCATCAGACATTTGACTACTGAGGTTACTTCAAATGATTTCCCTAGCTTGCTTGCCTTTTTACAAAATAAAAAAGTTGGAAATCAACAATTCAGAAAGCATCTGACCCCTTTTTGTTGTGAACAGCAATTGCTGTTCTTCAACCATTTCTATTTTTCTAAAACACAGAATACCTTGAGCATTGTTCTTGCCAAATATTTGTGATGAATGCATTACCTAAAACACCAGATCTAAGAGCATTTAGAAGTCACGTAGAAGGAAGAGGCTGTTACTGTTCCATGGATCGCTGACCAGGACTGTCAGGAAGACACCAGGGTACCAGCACCACGTGGACTTTTATATCACAATCCCACACGAACAAATAGCAAACCATCACAGTATGGTTTGGATTGAAAATATTTCCATGTGTTCTCCAGATTAGACAAGATTTTTATAGAAATGCTCCTAATTTTATTTTAAATTTTTTTCCTCAGCTAACTTAGGAATGAGAAGAAAACTGCACAGACACAACTGCCTTCAGAGGAGATGTATGCCTCTCCACTCACGAGTGCCCTTTCCCTGAGGTATTTCTGAGAGGAAACAGCTCCACTCCATTTAGGCAACGTCCCAGATTAGATACTCCCAAGAATGTTTATTCATGTTTTGTAATATGTGATAATGACTCTACCCTGATATCAGTTTAAGGGAAGGATTCTAACCAATGAAGCAGTGAGATGATAGGATATTTGCAAAGTGCTTTAATTGCTTAATGGGAAAGAGGAGAAGCTAGAACAATGACAGTATTTGTGAATCTGAGTGATAGTTATGTGGGAATGAATGCTATTGGGTGCATTTGAGAAATTTCCCAATTCTTCTTCTTATTAAGCCCAAGAGAATCTAATTGTAAAAGCATTGGGTTTTGAAAAACACTTAATAGAAAATATTTAAAAAAAACACACACACACGCAGAATATTTCCCTGTGTTGTCCAGAACAAGCACATCTGCCATTAAGACGACTTTGCACTTAAAAGCTTTTGGACATATTGGCCCAATAACACAAAATGAATGTTGTGCTCCCTTTATAGTTTGTAGTTCATTTCCCCTGGAAATTGTTCCTTTAATGTACAAAGTCAACCAATATTACTGGCAGGCCAGCTCTCCATTCTCACTCACAAAACTGTTCTTGATAGTTGCATCTTTAAAGATAAAATCTGAACAGAAGTTTACTCCTGCCCTCTTAATTAAAAAAAAAAAAATTCCTTCACCCACTTTTTTAAATCACTCACAGAAATTGATTTTACACTGTTGGTATCACTCACTGTTAATCCTCTTGAATCACTTAACTTCAAACATTAAATTTGTTTCTTCTTGCTATAAAGCAAAAAACTATTGTAATTATTTTCAGTTCTTTAATTCATATAAAACATATCTCCCTTTAAAAAAAATGCCTAGAAATATCTTTTATCAGGTTAACATACCCCAGCAATTGCTAAATTGCCTTACTCAATTGGTTTATAGATTGTAGCATTTATGACACTATTCATTCAGAGGAAAGAATGGTTGCTATGTCCATTGTGTGATATGAGCTTTTCAAAGCCAGTGAAAGCCCTATAGTTGGACATTCAATGAAAAAAGAACAATTCCTTAATAAGTATTTATCTAGAAGACTAAGACAAAAAGCCACGTTCTCTGTGCCTGTAGCTATACCAAATTTTTCTTTGCTATCACATTATGAAAAATAGGTTTAGGAGGAATCCAGAAAGATAGAATAAGAAATTCCCAAGAAGCCAATTAATGGGAGCTAAAGCTTGCTTTGAAAGAATTTTGTACATTAAAACATCCTTTGGTGAGTGTTGTTCATGCATTTGTCTTACTTATAAATAATGGGAAAATCTGCACTTAAGAGGAGTGGAGAAGTTCAAGATTTTCCCAGCACTCCTCCACAAATAACAAAGAAGAGAGGAGGCATTTCACAGTAGCAAGGGAATTCCTGTGTATACAGAGAAAGATACTTGCATAATGCAAATAAAAGCCCTTGGTTAGCCACACAGAGTTATATTGGCTTTCTCCACAAACCACCTGCCATAAAACTTAGGGTTGCAAGTAAACAAGAAAAGTAGTGACATTTGAATGGACAAAGTTAAGGGAAAAAATTGACCTATAAACCAGATTTGTAAACCGCAGGGACTTTAAGATAAAAACACATAAACTATCTAATCATAGCAATCCTTTACAAAATTTAGCTGATCCCTTTTAAGAACTGCTCAGGTTACAACACCCATTTTTCTGAGTTTTACACTAGCCCAACATTCCAGCTACAGTTTTTTGAAGAATGTGTAAAAGTCACACACTCGTATCCAGCAAGCATATGAGTCAATGCAAGAAGAAACAATAAGGTAATTTCCCAAGATCCTGCTCACCCAGTGATGTAATTAACAAGGACTAACTTCATATTTTATCGCATAATTTTCGCTGTGTTAAATACTCGCACTTTTTTATATATCTTGCAATAAATAAATAAATAAGCACCTTGACAACAGGGGAAAAGCACTGCAGACCTACAAACTCTAAGGCAAAACCTCCATTTCACTTGTCCCCCTCTGCTTTCAGCGTGCTTTAGATAAAATCACATGCAGTGATTTGATTCAGTTGGGGTCAAGTAAGTCTGTAAAAGGATAGGCAAGGTAAACAGTTGACTTTGGAAGTTTTCCAGATTAACCCTTTAGCTTGGTTCAGGCCTTTAGCTTACTTAACAGGAATACCCTATAATCTTGAATCTGTTCATTTTTCCAGCTCCTTGAGTTCTTAACAATCCTCAGTGAGATTTTTTGACCCATGTAATTGAGTTAGCTAAATAGAAAAAATATACCATCTAAAACTTATCTTAAGGGTATTTTTTTTCTCATAGAAATATTTTGGCATCTCCTTCAGACTTAAGTGAACTTAGTGTAGAGGAAAGCAAGAGGAGAGAAGGGTGTCAAAGAATGGAAGCTTCCAGATAAATGTGAGAGTTTTATAGAGGAAAAGACAGTAGAGCCTTAAATCCTTTTTTAATTTTTTTAAAGATTTATTTATTTATGCATAAAAGACCTGGGGTACAAGCCACAGATGCGGGAGGTGAGAGGATTCATCAGAGGCAGAGTGGGGAGCAGAACAGGCAGATGGACGGAAATATACTGCGAGGGAGAAGTGGGTAGGTCAGGAGAAGTCTGGCAGGCTATGCGGGTCACCTCCATGGCCTGGGATCGAATTCAGACTGCAGTGGCTGCAGCTTCCTAGTGCTGCGCTTTAACCCATGGAGCTAGCGGGGAGGGCCCAGGGCTTTAGATCCTAACAATTTCCACTTTCAACATTAAAATCTCACTGGAGCAATGTTTTTCTCTATAAATCATAGTCTCGATAATTATATACTTTGTTAATACATACTCTACTTAGCTTTTAGTAATAATTATAGTACATTGTCATGGTGTAACTTTTTCTCTAACAGTTTAGATGAATACAAGGTCAAAAGTAAGCCTTCCACCTCCCCAGTCACCCAGTTTTCACTTCCCAGAAGCAGTGGCTATGAAAAGATTTTGGTTAAAGTCAGGCTATCTAATATTCCCTGGTCACCCCTGATTTTCATTCAAATTTTAAGTGCTTCCAGTTCTCTGTTATTTGTCCTATTGTAATCTCTTTCAAGGGACTTCTGACCCCCTAGATCAAACCCCTAGCCTGCCTCCCAGCAACTTCTGACACTGGCCTATAGTCTTGACTCGCCTCACAGCATTCTGCCTTTTCGGCTTAACTGAAAAACTGAACACTTTGCTTTCGGCGCTGCCCTTTAACCGGTACTTCATCTCCAGCCTGACCAGGAGTCTCTGCAGTGAGCTCTTCTGCTTACTTTTAGACACCTCTAGTTCTCATGCAGCTGCCTTTCAAATCTTTAAAAACCTATTGTTTCCTCAGACGTCTTAGTGTCCTTTTCCAACTCACAGCGAGGTAATTCTTCCAGAGAACCCTCCCCTTTCCAGAGACACCGCGTGTGCTCAGGTTTCAAAATAAGACCCTGCCTCAAACTATAAACATGGATACCTACAGCACTTCCTCTATTTCCCCTCCTATTTAAGGGACCACTCTCCTGGGTTTTGTAAATACCTACACCTCAGGGACCTTGATCCAATCATGAATTATTACTCCCTTTCTTCCTCAAGATGTTCAATATGTAAAAACTGACCTCTTTAGTCTTAAAAAGATGCACCATTGACCCCATACTGTCCACCAATAACCAGCCCATGTCTTCCCCACGTAGCGATTTTTCTGGAAAAGATGGCTGTTTTCCTTTCTTCCCATCTGTTTTCAGCACATTGCCCCGAGTGCATTTTGGGAAAGGTCCCTAATGACTTTTCTTCTCAACACATGTTGACCTGATCTCACTTATGTTGATATAGGTCAAATGGTAAAATGGGTTTTCCCTTAGTTTCAATGACACCATCTCCCTCCTATGTATTGCTGGAACAAGTCATTGTCCTTTCAAGTCCTATACAGGGTGTCCAAATTTGTACTTAGAGTCACCTAAGCTGTCCGACAGGCACTTCAAGCTCTTGTCTACAGCACACACATGTATTTCTGTAAGCACTACTTGTTCCTATAATTTCACAAGACTGTTCCAATGTCACAGATGTCATCAAAAGCGTCTCCTGATCTTTTGTTTAAAAATGCAATACCAGGGCCCTCCCTGGTGGCACAACGGGTTAAAGCACAGCACTGCAAACCCGGGCAAGCTGGCCCTGGATGCTTCAGTGCAAGTTGGGTCCCCACCCTGGAGGTGATCCACATGGCGCGGCAGACCCACCCGCTGCTCCCCTCAGCAGTGTACTTCATCAGTCTGCCTGTTCTGCCCCCCACTCTCTCTGGTGAATCCTCCCACTGCCCCCGCACCTCTGACCTGTACCCCAGTTCTGTATGCATAAATAAATCTTAAAAGAAAAAAAAAGCAATACCAAAATAAAATAAAAAACAAACAATGCTTCATCCTCCCCCAAGCCCCAAGATACCCCTATTTCTCTTTTCCTGGTTTGTTTTTCTCCAAGGTACCAATTAGCCTCTGGCATAACCTTTTACTTTGTTTCCCATTTAGGATCAGCCTCTCTTCATTGAAATGTAAGTTTCATTAGAACAGGGGTTTTACTTTGAATATTTTAGTTACCATATTCAATGTCTATAATAAACTTTCCAGAACTATTTGATGAGTGAGTGAATACTTAGAGGCAAATTCTTCAATTCTTCTTTCCTAGGTATTTCCCTGTGTTCTAAAAATCTGGAGAATCAGGTTATTGTGTATTAGATGTTTACTGTGGGTCAGGCAATGCGTTGTGAACTACATGTTACTCTCTCCACTAAGTTCCTGCACACGCTGCCCTAGTATTTAGTTTGTGTTGGCTTCTAGGTCTATTATTTCTACTTGATTTATTGGTGTGTGTGTGTGTGTGTGTGTCTGTGTGTGTGTGTTTCAGTATGCTCTCTCCTTTTCATCTCAATTTGTATTTTAGTGCATAAGGATTTTATATTACATATAAGATAATCTGAAATAGCACCTTATCATCGTACATAAAGATAGTATTTTATATTGTCATAGCCCACAAGGTAACTTCAACCTCTTGAAGCTGATCCACTCTCACTTCCATTTCTGGTTCTGGAAAGTCCATTTTGCTTTCTCCCCTGATCTGCCTAAATTGTAAATCCAACCACTTCACAACTTGATTAAAATCCTTCACTGTCCTGTAGCTTTGGGACTGGGTGAACTTCCAGACCAGTAAAATGGAGCAAGTGATGGCACTCCTGTATTCGTATCCGTAGCCAGTATACACAAATGCAAGCTGGGTAGGAGCTGGAGGTATCACTATCAGACTTTTTTTTTTTTAAGGATTTATTTATTCATGCTTACAGAACAGGGGTACAGGCCAGAGGTGTATTGGGTGAGAGGCTTCACCAGAGACAGAGTGGGGAGCAGAGCAGGCAGATTGACAAAGTACACTGCTGAGGGGAGCAGCTGGTGGGTCAGGGGAGGTCTGCCGCACCATGTGGGTCAGCTCCCTGGCCAGGGATGGAACTCGTGCTGCAGTAGCTTTGGAGACCTTCATAATGTGGTGCTTTAACCCGTTGCGCCACCAGGTAAAGCCCTATTACTTCCAGACTTTAAAGTCTGTTCATTCCTCACCTCTTGTCACTCCTTGAGCAATACTCCTGCCTGCGATATCCTTTTTTCAGTCTTTCCCAACTATCATTTCATCCTTCCAGAAACCACCTCTGGTTCTGATGACTTTACCAGTTGTCCCAGACGGCCAGTTTGCGCTCAGCAGTTTGCGGAGGCCAGTCAAAGGCCTTGTCTCACTGCCTTCTGTCTGCGTGTTGTCGGACTGTGCTCGTCACTTCCACCCTCCCTGTGCCGTCACCGCCTGAAGGTAGCGTGTAGTGTTCTGGGGTTTTTACATTGTTAAGTGAAGCAAGGAATGTTTAATGTGGAGCCCAGGTGAATGAAGGCAAAAAGTGCCGGCATTCAGCTGCTGGCTAAGTTCATAGAGATAATTCAGGACAAATCCAGAGGGTTTAGTATTCACAGGTCCCGGAGGAGGGACACGGCGTGACTGGAGGGGCCACAAAGAGAGGCCAAGACAGAATGCAGAAGACAGACAGAGCATGAATCTGATTTTAAGATCTGTGCAAAGTGCTTTGGCGCCCCTGGGCTAGCACCAAGTTGATCAATTCACACCCAAAAAGCTGTATTTTCTTAAGCCCCACATGGGTTGTTTTCTAAAGGGGGCATCAGGCCCTGGGAGGAAGGGAAGACTATTGAGGGTCTTGGGGCAGTCACAGCAGGAACTTGCCAAGCTTGAGTAACTCTGGCTGCTCCCGGGTCAAGCACTTGCGTGAGAAACTTGTGTCAGTTCACTGTCACTTTACCGTGACTCATACTATGTGGACAAGGAAGACCGTCCACATGAGAAAAGCAAAGCCTGTATATTCAGAGCTGCACTAGCAGGGTGTCAACAACCAGCCCCTGGCGGAGGATGTGGCTGTAGCCAGGCTGGAGGCTGGCTGCCCGGAAGTAGACCTTCCTGGGAGGTCGGTTTAGGGAGCATCTGTGCCTTTCTTGGACTAGTCTTGAGTTGGAGTCAGGAGGAAGGGAGGGCAAGCATGAGGGAAGCTGGCACTTATTTTCCAAATACTGACCACGTCAGGTCGCTTGCAGCAGAGGTTATGATTGGGCTTCCTGGCCTGCTTGCAGTTGTGGGTCGAGGTCTATTGTAATATGTGGTTTGACAGTTGTTCGTTTGTGCCCAGTCTCCCAGCTCCAAACGTAACCTCATCTCCAGTTCTGTTTAGAACCTTTTAGTGCTTTCAGATTACTCTTAGGTTAAATAAAGTTGAAGTACTCCACAAAACTGCAGCACATGGTCAGGCATTTTTCTCTCCAAACTCTGACTCACTGTGACTATCTGTGACTGAATCAAGTATGGCCTGATCTTTTCCACTTTAGCACTACCTCATGTTATTTTATCTACCTTGGATCTAGCCTGTTCTCTTCATCTGTTTTTTCCCCTCAATCAAAACTCTCATTAAATGTCACATCAGGGCCCTCCCTGGGTGGCACAGAGGGTTAAAGCACAGCACTAAGAAGCTAAAGCCACTTCCACATGAGTTCAATCCCCACCCGGGAGGAGATCCACATGGTGCGGCAGACCTCTCCTGACCTGCCTGCTGCTCCCCTCAGCAGTGTACTTCGTCAGTCAACCTGTTCTGCTCCCCACTGTCTCTGGTGAATCCTCTCACTGCCCCTGCACCTCTGGCCTGTACCCCAGTTCTGTATGCATAAATAAATATTAAAAAATGTCACTTTATGTGTGCGTATGGTGTGTGTGTACTGCTCATACGACATTGCACACTGAACTTGGCCAAGCATCTCTAGGAGTGGACTCTGGAGTACTTCACACTGTATTTGTATGGATGTTGTGTTAGAGCTTTGCATTTTGTACTACTCTTCATTTTTTCTCTACTGGTAAGATATTTACATATGCACAAAACACATGCAGACATATGATTAGTTCTATTCTTGCCCTGCCATATATGTAAAGTTTATTGCTAAATACTAATTATTAAATAGATTCTTCATAGCACTTGAAAATTCTTAGGGACCGTACTGTTTGTTAAATAAAATACTTAGCACTTTGGTTCTGCTATCTTTTACTTTGGCAGCTCCAAATAACTGTTAGCTCTGATATACAGATCCTGAGCCAAAATCAAAAACATTAAGAAAATAGTTGGGGTCTTCTTGGTGGTGCAGGGGTTAAAGACAGGGCTATCAAGCTATTGCCAGCCACTGTGGCATGAATTCATCCCTGGTCAGGGAGGTGACCCACATGGTGCAGCAGACATCTCCTGTCTCACCTGCTGCTCCCCTCAGCAGTGTATTTCAGTCCATTTGCCTGTTCTGCTCCCCTCTCTGTCTCTGCTGAATCCTCTCATCTCCTCACACCTCTCTCTGGCCTACACCCCAGTTTTGTGTGCATAAATAAATCTTAAAAAAAAAAAAACAGAAAATAGTTGAGGCTGCTAATGTGGATCACTGAGAGAATAGAGATTATTAGGTGGAAAATAATTTAATATAAAGACTTCTTTAGTGCATAAAAACAGGTGTTTGAAGACATACAGGTACTATGTTATTTTTTATACCGAAAAACATTGGTGTATTCATAAGTTCTTTGCTAAAAAAGTTAAGAATGGCTGTTTATCTGCTGGGCAGCATTTCCTATTATGATGTATTTTTCTCCTTTCTTTCCAAATACAGATCTCTCTAGCTCACTTCATCGAGTCCGCCTGAACAGGAGTGAAAGACAGACACTACTCACCCACAGGACAGTGTGATTTCCTAGAACTCCTGTACAAAAGGAATCATTTGAAAGCACCTTGGATAGTTTATTAGTTTCACAGGATTCTCTTCTTGCTAGTTTCTCTTTTGAAACATAAATTTAAAAGCAATTTCATACTGAAGCACAATTATCTGCCTATACAACAAAAGTATTTTTTCAGCACATAATTATTTTACAAGTTACAAGAAGAATACTTTTTAATATCTTAGAACTCTTAATAGTAAAAAGTTAGAATTGAAATTTTTCTTTCATATCTTATAACCTCTGAAAGTATTAAAATAACTTTGTAAAGGTTTGAATGAATTGGTTACCTATACAGAAAGACTAAGAAAAAAATTATTAATTTGTTACCAATTTTCTATAAGAGCCTTTAATGTTTATGAACATATTTTTTATCTTGAATAATATTCACTTAAAATTATAAAAGAAAGTTTGAATGCTAATTGTAGTTCATTTTATTTTAAAACTGAAATGTTCATTTCTGAATCTTCTTATGTCATTATGAGAAACCAAAATATGATCCCTTTTTAAGTTCTGTTATATGTTCTTGATTCATTTGTTCAGAAAATTCCTTAGAAAGGCCCCCTGGAGGTTGACATTTAAAATATATTTACGGGAGCTTTCTTGCCTGCCTGTAACAACTATGCAGGTGCTTCTTTTAATAAGCCCTTCCCCTGTGTCTTGTGCAAATGTCCTTTTCATTATTTTCCTTCCCTTTTTTCTATAATACATCTGCCCTTCTGGATATATAGAAAATAATAAAACAAAATGCATGTATGCCTTTGAAATCCAAACAGGGCACTGTCACTAGCCAAATGAATGCTGATCACTTTTCTGGACTCTAATCTGTATGCTGTTTAGTTTGTAGTGGTGAAAGATGTAAATAAACAATCAAACAGGATTTAAGAATGTGATTACTCAAAGAGAATCTCTTCTGTCTAAATCTGAATTATATTGATAATTAGGTATTTCCAAGTTGTTAAAGATGCTCTTACTTTGTATTTATTTAATGATAACTCAGTGCCAGAATGTTTTTTTTTTTTACTCTAAGTTCATCAAGATATGAAATTTACAAAACTATAACTTGACTAGAAATGTTGTGTAAACATTATAGCATGGGAAAAGCCATAAACCATTAGCCCTTATTCATCTAAAATAAAAGATCAAGATAGTGGATCCTTTCATTTCCCACATCTCTGGCCTGTACCTCAGTTCTTGTATGTATAAATAAATAAGTCCGGGCCCTCCCTGATGGTGCAATAGATTGAAGCACAGCACAATGAAGCTCTCCGAGGCCACTGCAGCACGAGTTCAATCCCCAGCCAGGGAGCTGACCCATGTGGCGTGGCAGACCTCCCCTTTACCTGCCTGCTGCTCCCCTCAGCACTGTATTTCAGTCAGTTTGCCCGCTCTGATCCCTGCTCTGTCTCTGATGAAGCTTCTCACCCCCCACACTTCTGGCCTGTATCCCAGGTCTTGTATGCATAAATAAATCTTTAAAAAAAAATACTTTTTTTTTTTTAGAAAAATATCAAGATAAATATATAACATATAAAGAATTTGAAGTAGAAATGGTGACATGGTGGCGTTTGTCTCTTACAATCCATTGATGGTATTTTTGGAGTGGAAGGTACTTACCAAAAGCACTGTATGTAGTTACAGATACACCAATGTGTTTTATGAAGTGCATTAGGTTATTTAAATTGGGTATTTGGAGGACTTTCTAACTTTCTTGATAAATAGCTCCTTTACATGTACTTGCTTACATATTTTGTACAAAAAAAAAAAAAAAGCATGACTTCATATAGTCCAAGGCTTCTCATTGCACACAGGTCTATAATTTTTCAAATATAGATTATCATATGCTTAGAAAAAGCTTAAAGTCATTTTTAATAAAGCATTAATACTCAAACTGCACATTGGCTTTGGTCAAAAGAGCCAGGTAGAAAGGAAAAATCCACTGAAGTCAATCAACATCTCTATAGGCAAACTTAGAACACCTTATGTTAACTCCAGGATGTATAATCATTTTGGAACCTGGTGCAAAATTCAGTATGGTGTTATGGGTGATATTGGGAGAACAATGTGGCTCCTCCAGTAGGTTCAAAATGAGAGAGCAGGAAAAGGAGACTAACTTGGTGTTTGTGGTGATTGTTAGATGGGGGGGTGGGGGAGGGATGAGGTCTAGCACAACTGTCTCAAACATCTCACTTAAAGAAGGTGTTGCCTGGGTTTTTCATTGGGCTTTCCAGATGTGGGGGAAAAGGAGAGAGGAGACCTAAGCAGGTATGTTTTACCTACTTGTTCTCCAGGAAAATGGGAGGTTCCAGGTTCCCTGCCCCACCCAAAGGAAGGTGGAGGTGAGGAGAGAAGATAAGAATCTGGAGAGGAGACTGAAGAGGAAGGAAACAGGATGGAGAGTCAGGAGATCTGAGGGAGGCACACAGAGTAGAGACATGTGAAGAAGCAGCTCTTGTTTCTTGGCCCTGGACTGGTTGACCCGATGTGGGTGAGAGACCCGTGGGAGGTTCACTATGGCAGTGTTTATCTTGATTTTTCTCTTTTCCTCCTAAACTTGTCTGGCCATTTCTGACATGTTTGTGTGGGTCCCCTCCAGGAGGTGCTTTAGACTTGTAGTGGGCTTTGGGGCCTGCTTTGAGCCAATCCCTTTGAGGTAGACTTTTACCCACGTGGGGATAGGTAACTTTGGGTGTTTGAGTTAGAAACTATGGTCCTTGTCGTTTCTGTATTGCACTCTAATGCCTTTCCATTAAAGGTCTTATATGTTTCATCTTGATACAGCAGATGACAGAACCTATTTAGAGCAGGCAGGTTTGGGGATTTACGGGTGCTCCTCTCCTGTACATATGGTGACACCATCCCTATCTTCCAGGGCTTTCCCCATAAAAAATAGCCTATGAACTGTAATTGGGAGCATTTAAGTGCCTTGTATCACATGCAGGAAGATGAGAGCCCTGAAAATGCCTTACCTCTTTTTCTCAGACTTAGAATACACCCAGCCACTGTGTGTAGAAGCACATCATAGATTTTACACAAAATTTGCAATCTATATCAATGTAAATATGTAAATGTATCAGGACCTCTCAAAGTTGACTTCCACTTCAAAGGGAGCTACCTCACTAAGTTAGCCCTAAACAAGAGACATCCTCGGCCCCCACCCCCATCCAGCAGCTCCCTTTGTTTTTCAGATTTCTGGTTGATTTATGTAAAAGGTCAGATACAGATGACTTTCCTTTTTGGTTTTTTTCTCTTCCCCACTTTAAATTATTGACTTACCGGGTTTTTGGTTGTTGTTTTTTTTTTTTTTATTTATGATTTAAATGCACCAGTAAAACTACAAAACCCTAAACCGCTTATCCTCCGTACTCTGTACAAGTAAAAGCAGGACCCCCAAATCCAAGTTCTCTTTATAGGTGACCTCACTGTGACCCAGTGCTGGTGCAATTTCCAGGTCTTGCAAGTAATAAATATTCATCCTTAACAAAGTTACCTGGTGGGGACAGCTGAAGAGCATCTTGTGACCCTAAGTCCCCTAAGAGCCAATTCAGTTGTCATATCAATAGGTGGGATTGACACAAAATAGAAAATGCAAATAAAATTTATTAGAGTGAAATGACAAAATATACAATCTAATCTTAAATCCAGCTACAGGTTATAGTTGTTACCATCTGTATTGGTTCTCACATTGTATTTGCTGCTATTGCAACAAAAAGGATAAATGAAGAACAAACTTTTAAAAGTTGTGTTTAAGTCAAATGAGTAATTAAAAATTCAGTTCCACACTCACTGACAGTTGTACAATCTGCTGTTACCCATGCGTGACAGGAAGAATCAGGGTCCCCCTTCAGCCGGCATGCTCTCCCCCTGCGCCCACTGTGAGGGGCTCAGGATCCCGACCCACACACAGGTAAGGCTTCAGCACTTGAGAAAACGTCTCCCTGAAGGTGTGGATGTGAGACCAGTCGTGGACGCTGTAAAAGGAAATCTGGCCCAGCTCGTAGTCCAGGTAGACGCCGATCCCTCTGGGCTTCTCCCTGAGCGCCAGGGGCACCGGCGCGGGGCCCACGGCCACGTAGGCGCCATC